AATTAAAATGATATGCTAAAAATATTCATTTAACATAAAATAAAGCAATTGTGGAGGAATTAAGAAGCAAAAATTCATATGACATATAGAAAACACAGCAAATGGCAGATGTAAATCCTACTTTATCAGTAATTACATTAAATGTAAATGGATTAAAGTCCAATTAGTAGGCAGGGATTGACAGAATAGATTAAAAATACATAAGCTAACTACATACTTTACAGAAGACTCACATTTGACTCAAAGACACAAATATGGTGAAAGTAAAGGCTGGAAAAAGATATTTCGTGAAAACAATAACCAAAGGTGAGCTAGAGTGACTAAACCAGTACTAAAGAAAATAGACTAAGAGAAAAATTGTTACTATAGACAAAGAAGTACAGTTTATAAATATAATGTTAGAGGTCAACTCTTCAGGAAGATATGACAATTATAAACATATATACACTTAACAATAGAGAACCAAAATATGTAAAATAAAAACCAAAAGAACTGAAGGGATAGACAGTTCAACAATAATTGTTTAAAATTTCAGTAATCCATTTTGAATAAACAGTGGAGCAATGAGATGGAACATAAGCAAGGAATTAGAGCACTTAATGCTATAAACCAACTGAATCTAACACGCATCTATAGAACACTTCACTCAACAATAGCAGAAAACACATTCTTCTCAAGTACACATGAAATATTCAAGAATAGACCATATGTTAAGCCTAAGCAAGTCTCAGTAAATGGATTGATAATACAAAGTATATTTTCTGATGACAATGGAATATTATAAGGTAAATAACAGGAGGAAATGTGGGAAATCCACAAATATGTTGAAATTAATCAACACTCCTGAAAAAGGATGGCTCAAAGAAAATCATAATGGAAATTAGGAAATACTGTGAAATAGTGAAGATTAAAACGTATGAAAACTTACTGGATGCATGAAGGCATTGTTCAATGAGAAATTTATTAACATTTTAATGCCTGTGTTAAAAAAATAGAGAAAGCTCTCAAATAAATAACCTAGCCTTCCACCTTAAGAAACTAGAAAGAGAAGAGCAAACTAAACCCAAGGCAAGTATAAGGAAGAAACAAATGACTAGAACAGAAATAAGAGAAATAGAGAAGAAACAGGAGAAAATCAATGAAACCAAAAGTTGGTTCTTTTTTTTTTCCAGTTTTCAGTTTTATTAAGTAGAATTGTTATAATTTGACTGCACATATACAATATATTACATGTAAATACATATATACAATATACTGCACATTTTTTTAGTTTGCATATATGTACTGATCATTGTTTCTAAGAACAGTTTAGACCTTTAGCTTTTTAAACTTACATAGTTATCAAAGGAGTAAAGCCAATCACAAAATAAGAATCAACAGAATGCCGTAATCCAGTTGTAAAGAACAGTCATATGTGCTTACACATATTCAAGAAATCCATCATCTAAGTTATAAATAATAGTTCATTTATTTGTTTGTTTTTAAGATTCCACATACGAATGATATAATAGGGCATTTTTCTTTCTCTTTCTGGCTCATTTAGAATGACCAAAAGTTGGTTCTTTAAGCAGATCAAAAAAATTGATCTTTAGCTAGACTGATCAAGAAAAAAGGAAGATTCAGATTACTAAGATCAGGAATGAAAGAGAAGGATCATTATTGACCTAACAGATAGAAAAATGATCATAAAGGAATACTATGAGCAGTTAGTTGTACGTCAATAAATTTGATAAGCTATATGAAATGAATAAATTTCTAGAAACATACAAACTACCAAAACTATCTCAGGCATAAATGAACTATCTAAATAGATATATAACATGTTAAGAGATTGAGTTAGAAATTTAAAAACTTCTTACAGTGAAAAGCCAAGCCTACACTGGTGAATTCTACCCATTTAAAGAAATAACTTCTCAATGAAAAAAAAAAAGAAAGGAGAAAACACTTCCTAACACATTTTTTGAAGTCAGTATTACCCTGATACCAGAACCAAAGATGGCGTAAGAAAAGAAAACTATAGTTAAGTATTGCTTATAAATGCAGATGTAAGAATTCTACAAATTGCTACACAATACTAGCAAATCAAATCCAGCAGTATGTAAAAAGGATTATACACCATGATTAAATGATATTTATCTCAGGGATGCAAACATTGTTTCAACATAGACAAAAATCAGCCAATCTAATCAATGGATTTACAGAACAAAGGTGGGGAGAAACCCCAGATGGTCTTAATAGACAAAAATTTTTTGATAAAGTCCAACACCCTTTTATTATAAAAACACTCAACAAACTAGGAATAGAAGTGAACTTTCTCAATCTAATAAAAGAGTATCTGGAAAAAAAAATGCACAGCTAACATGGTAAAAGGCTGTATGCTTTCCCCAAGGATGTCCACTGTCACCACATCTATTCAACATTGTACTGGAAGTTCAAGCCAGGGCAGTTAGGCAAGAAAGAAATAAAAAGAATCCATACTGAAAAGAAAAAAGTAAAACCACCTCTGTTTGCATTTGACCTGATCTTAGATACATAGCCCTAAACAATCCACAAAACAACAACAAAGTACAAATATTAGACCTAATAAATGAGGTCAGCAGATTGCAAGCTCAATCCATATGCAAAAATCACTTGTACAGTATGTAGTATCAATGAACAGTCTGAAAATGAAGGGAAAAAAATCTATCAAAATGAATAAATACTTGTAATAAAAGTAATCAAAGAAGTACAAGATTTGTACTGAAAGCTGCAAAACACTGAATGAAATTAAAGACTTATCTAGATAGAAAAGTATCCTGAGTTCATAAATTGAAAGACTTAACTAATGTTAAGGTGGAAATATTCCCCAAATTGATCTATAGATTAAATGTAAAACCTATTGAAATTCTAATTGCTTTTTTGGCAGAAACTGATGCTAATCCTAAAATTCATATGAAATTGCAAGGGACCCATAACAGCCAAAAGAATCTTGGGGGAAAAAAGAGTAGGAAGACTCAAATTACCCAATTTTAAAACTTACTACAAGTTTAGAATAGTCAAGGCAATGTGGTACAGGTATAAGAACAGACATATAGGTTAATGGAATAGACTTGAGAGTCCAGAAGCAAGGTTTTGAACCAAAGTGCCAAGACCATCAATCAGTACTCTTTTTATTCCTTTAATGGAGGTACTAGGGATGAACCAAGGACCTCAATCGTATTCAGCATACACTCTACCACTGAGCTACTACTCTCCCCTATTTATTTTTTAAATTATTATTTTCTTTTTCATTTATTTTTAATGGGGATACTGGGGATTGAACCCAGGACGTCATGCATGCTAAGCAAGTGCTCTACCACTGAACTATACCCCCACTCCTGAGACTATCAATCAGGACAGAATAGTGTTTTCAGCTAATGGTGCTGGGCGCAACTGGTTATCCACATGCAAATGAATCAGTCTGACCTCCCACCTCACGCTATATATGAAAGTTAACTCAAGAGGATCAAAGACCTAAATGTAAGAGCTAAAACTATAAAACTCTCAGAAGAAAACATAGATGTGTATCTCTGTATCCTTGGTTTAGGCAACAATTTCTTGGATATGACATCAAAAGCTTGAGCAACCAACAAAAAAGTAGATACATTTGACTTCATCAAAATTAACAACTTTGTATGTCAAAGTACATTGTCAGGAAAGTGAAAAGAAAACCCACAGAATGAGAGAAAATAGTTGCAAATCCTGTGTATGACAAGTGTCCAATATCCAAACCATATATTTTTAAAAATTCTCATGACTCAACAATTTAAAAAATGTAAGTATAGGCAAAGGATTTGAATAGACATTTTTCCAAGGAAAATAAATGGCCAATAAGCATATGGAAAGATGCTCAACATCATCATTAGGGAAATGTAATTTATTTATTCCCCAAAATGTTGTACATATAGTTACCATTTGAACCAGCAATTCCACTCCTAGGTATATACCCAAAAGAATTGAAAACATGTTCACACAAAAATTATTAAATTGTTCATATTAGTAATAACAGCCCATGTCCATCAGCTGATGAGTGACTAAATGAACTGTGGTATAGCCATTCAATGAAATATTATTTAGCAACAAAAAGGAATGAAGTATTGATACATGCTACAGTTGATAAACCTTGAAAACTTTGTGCTAAGTGAAAAGAAGCCAGACATAAATGATTTAATTTATATGAAATGTCCAGAATAAGGAAATTCATAAAAGCAAAGTAGGTAAATGGTCTTCAGGGGCTGGGGGAAGGGGGAATGTGGACTGACTCCTAATGGGTGTAGGATTTCCTTTCGGGTGATGAAAATTTTCTGGAATTAGGTAATGGTAATGGTTGTACAAACTTGTAAATATACAAAACCCTACTGAATTTTCACTTGAATATGGTGATTTCTGTGATATATAAATTTCAATAAGTAAATAACTACTATGGTGATAAATAATATTTGTGCCTTGTTGATCATGGCATTATTGTATGCTGTATAGATTAACTTGAAAAACATGATATAGATACATTTAATAGCAGGATGTATAATTAAATTTTTAAAAAAGTAAATATTTCCTTCTACAGGGCTACTGTATGACCATTAAAATTTTATTGTCAGGTTTATTGTGGTCTAAAATATACATAAACTAAAATGCTTATCATTAAACACATTATTTTATCCTTTCTTGGTGTTGTAAATTGAGAAACATCTCAGTTAAACATATGTTGTCTTTAAAGGAGCAAGTGCAGTAGCAATGGACATTTAGGAAAGGGAAATTGTTCACGTTGACTTTCTTTTCATGACGAATATGACTGCAGCTATCTAAAATTTCCCTGGGAAGCTGAGCAGGTTTGTGAGATACAGTATCACTATTTGAGCTTTTTTCCCAAAGCCATTTTGTATGTATAACCTTTGTTTATATATTTTTTAAAAAGAATCTATACATAGATGAAGATTATTTTGTGTGTGCGTGGGTATATATATATATATATTTTTTTTCAGGTCAAGCAAATATACTGGCTAAAGAAGCTGCTAACAGATGGACTGGTATGTATCACAGGGCACTGGTAAACTGGTCAGACTCTTCCACACTTACTATGATATGAAGTGTAGAAGCTATTGTGCCTAGTTTTGTTCAAGAAAAGACATTTCTGGAAATGTATGTATTAATCAAGTTTTTATATATTAACTCACTTTAGTAACTTAAGGTTTTTTTTCTTTAATCTTATTATGAGTCATTTTGTAAATTTAAGACATTTTTTAAAACCAATGATTTTGTCCAGTTTAAGTTTTGTGTAACTTTTCCCAGATAAATGGCTTGGGCTGATCCCTTAACCTTCGTGTATATTAATACAAGATACAAATTCAAGAGTGTATCCTAAAGATTGGTCTTCTTGCTTATAATAAGCCAACATTTGTTGAGGGCTGACTGTAAGCCAGGCATCGTAAAGTGTGTCCATGGTGTGTTCTCATTTTATCCCCACAACAGTCTTGTGAGGTGGATAGGATTATCATCCCTAATTTTAGAGATGAAACTGAGGCCACTAGGAGCCCACAGTCACACAGGTGCTGGGCAGTGGGACAGGGATTCAATTTCACCGTCCAAGCTCTTGCCCAGTGCATGATATGCTCCTCTCTGTGTACCTGCTTTCATGTCAACGCCTCTTTAATCCACTTACCAATAGATATACCCTCTGGTCTATGTCAGGATATTTTAAGAAATGGGAATTAATAAGGCTTTATCTATGTGTCTTAAAGTTTAGAAGAAAGTTAATAAATAATAACTGTAGAGAATTATATACAAGCATGATTATGACTGTTAAAACCTGTCTGGAAGTTACACTGGTGTTTTTCCAGTATTTAATTATAAGATAGTGGTAATTGGACTTTTCCACCTGGTAAGTCTTTAGTGCCCTCACACGTGTTACTCATCTTTGTGTTTCTGTGGGAGAGCGTGGGTAAGATTACATCGACAAAGAGAGGCACAAAGCTTGAGGTGGCTGCCTGAAGTCAAAGGTGACTAGTCACTGGAGGAACAGGGATTCGAGCCAGGTTTCCCTGATTCCATGTCCAGGCCTCTGTGTTTCACAGAAAGCTTAAGAATCATTTCTCCTTGTCTGTTTTAGAATTAGGTAGACTGATAAAATCAATGTAACTGGCCTTTGGTTCCTATACAGTTACAATCTTATTTATTACAAAGCTATTTCCTACATAATGTAGTGCTTTAGTGATAGGAGCAGAGGAGGGTAAAAGCAGCAAACTTAACATTGAACAAAAGAAGATAGTGAAACGTGTGTCCCGTAAAATGTGAGTAAATAATAAATACAGTGATGTATATAGGTTTGAGTAATACAAAATTTGAGTGAGAAAAGTGACAAGTGAATTTTTAGGTTAAAAATAAGACAAGAGGAAGTAGTGAGAGTATAGCTCAGTGGTGCTTAGCATGCACGAGGTCCTGGGTTCAATCCCGAGTCCCTCCAGTAAAAAACAAAACAAAGAAAGACAAGAGTCACAAAGTGATTTCCCCCAATGAACAAGGCAGCTAAGCAAACAGTAGGAACCGGCAGCCTGTGTAGATGGTGGGAGGAGCTTGGCTTTGAACAGAATCCAGGTTGTGCTCCTTATTTGCTACGTGACTTACTGAACTTCTCTGAGCCTGCTTCCTCATCTGTTCAGTGTGGATAATATCTACCTCACATTTTGGGAGGATTAAATAAGAGGTTTGTAAGCCCTTGAGCACACCATTAGACACAGATAAACAAATATTCCCCTTTTCCCTTTCTCTTCAAAAAAATCATTTCATGTTTTCCAGTTGGTCATAAACTTCAAAAATTATAATTTAAAAAATGTGAACAACTTTTTTCCCCTTGTGTTATTAGCTGAGAAAGAACCTGAATCTTTTTAAATCATGTAGGAAGGATATTTTTAGGACAGCAGAAACAGCTAAGAACCATCTTTCCATTTGAAGAGGGAGGGTATAGCTCAAGTGGTAGAGCATGTGCTTAGCATGCACGAGGTCCTGGGTTCAATCCCCAGTACCTCCTCTAAAAATAAATCAATAAATAAACCTAATTACCTCCCTCCCTCTCAAAAAAAAAACTTAAAAAATTTTTTGGGGGTTTACAGCTTGCTTACTCCTTCTAACATAAAAGTGTTATGCAAGAATCATGTAGTTAAAACAAATTACACCTCAGAATGCCTCTTCTTAAAACAACAAAGAGGAAGCATCAATAATACTTTAAACTAAAGATTGTTATATAATTATTAGTTAAGATTTGGTTTCTTTATACAGAAAAGCTCCCTAAAATATATTCTGAATCAAGCATATTAACTGTTTAGTAATTCAGTATTTCAGTTTTATAGAATGAGAAATTACCTAAGGGTATAACTAGAAATATCACATCTAAATGTTTTATGACATTAAATAACTTTAAATGTGATTTATCAAATTACATAAAACCTTGCCTAATAACTAAGACAGTGGAGTTTTTACGACTGTGTGAGAGGCATCTCAACGAACGAGGAGGGATAGATGTGTGGTCCTGACGTAGACTCATGAGTGTGCTACTGCCCATCCGATTCCTATATATATATGTATGCGTGTGTGTGTATATAGCTTGGGTATGATGTCATATAAATTAAGACAAATTCTACCAGTCTTCAGGTTGTTTCTTTAAAAACAAAAAAAGAACCTATTTTTTATCCATTTGCAAACATTTCCACATAATAGAAAAATTAATTGACAGGGATGAACTGTCAAGATTTTGGGCAACATTGTCTTGAAAGCAGACATCCAGTGGCCCAAGGATATATTTAATCAGTCTTTTTGAATTGGTCCATTGAGCATTGTGTAGAGAAGCTTTTTATTTGTCTGTTCTTCATCTTTGAAGATTTATAATAAAATGTTTTCCTGCCCTCATATAAACCAGGAACTTCTTCCTGCAAAGCCTCTAGCCTTGCTCTGGTGCCTTGTTTTCTTCTCTCCTGATCCGGTTTGAAGTCCATTCCTCCAAGCTTCCTAGAGTGTTGCATGTGTCCTCTTATTTCCTGGAAATCCTTCTGTATTCTTGAGCCTATTCTGGAAGCTGTACACATAACCCTTGATGTTTTCTCTCTAACAGACATATGACTTTGGAATTGTTTAGAAATAAATTGATTTTTCTCTCTACTCTTGTGTCAGCTTGAAGGCATAGGCTCTTTATGTTCTGGAATTCCTGTAACACACTTAATACTTGTCTTATGTAGCAGTGGGCTCTCTATAAGTATTTGCTTCTGATTGTCAAGAATGCACAGGTTGTGCAGACACTAATAAAACTACACAGGTCGTTCTACAGTACCTCGCGCTATTAGTGTTCTCGCTTAGGGTCTTGTGGAAAGTAACGATTTAGTTTAGACTGTTACACGGATTTATTTTAGTGTCTGTTATTCCATAACACATTAATTAAAAGAAATGAGGATATTTTGTTAACATTATTCTACTTGATATAGTAGTATTCACCTTAGCAGTGAACTTCATTCCTAACATTTAGTTATCATTATCTGATAGGTGGAATTAAACTTTCTTTTAGAAAGTTTTTTTAAATGTTTTAAAAAGTGATCAAACTACATATATTAATTTCCTAAGAAATCATAACATTATACTTCAGACTAGGTGGCTCAAACAACAGAAATTAATTTTCTCACAGTTCTGGAGGCTGGAAGTCCAAGATCAAGGTGTAAGCAGGCTTGGTTTCTTCTGAGGCCTCTCTCCTTGGCTTGTAAGTGGTCACCGTCTCCTTGTGTCCTGACAGAGTCTTCTCTCTGCCTGCCCCCGGTGTCTCAGGGTGTCCACATTTCCTCTTCTTACAGAGACACCAGTCAGATTGGATTAGGACCCTTCCTAATAGGCTCGTTTTCACTAAATCACCTCTTTGAAGACCCAATTTCCAAATATAGTCACATTCTGAGGTAGTGGACTTAGGACTGCAACATACGATCAGGGGAGGTGACGCGATTCAGCCAATAACACTCCAGAAGAACCTGTTTTAACCCTTCATTCATCTCAACTAACACAGTGCTCAGCGTTTGATGGAATACTCTGAACCAGAAAACTGTATACCATTATTTTTCTCTATAATAATATTCATTATGAAGATGGTGAATGTACATTAAAGAGAACGTGTAAAATTAAAGAAAGCTCACCGTCATTCCCGTCCCCTGGGTGCAGCCGCTGTGAGCACGTTGGCACTGCCTCGTGTCCCTCACTGCCTGCGCGTAGTCACCCTTCCAGGGGGTTAGACATTCAGAGTGCTTCTATTTTTCCCTTTTGTTACACTGGGGTGAAGATTTGATCATAAATCTTTGTACACATTCTGTTTCATTTCCTTGGGATAAATCCCTTTAGGTAGATAAAACACTTTTTTCAGTGGCAAATGCAGTTTAAATTCCCCCCAGAGGACACGGAGGACACATCTGCTCCTCTCTTAGTCTTAAGAGAGGAGAACCCCTTCCCTCTTCCTCACCCCTTCGCCCTCCCACTGGCCTGACTGGGAGCCATTACTCTCAGTGGGGGAGGGAGGGGGTCTGGCCAGAATGCGTTCCTTTGGGGACCGGAGCAGCTCTGATCCCTGAGGTAATAGGCCTGCCTCTGCTGCAGAAATGTGGAGGAGGCGCCACTAACTTCTCCCCGTCTTTGGATTATTCTTTAAGTCAGCTATTCTTTAGCGGCAACTGATTCACTGAATTTTTAAATACGAGATCCATTTATTCAAAACACTCATTAAATATTTTCTTTCTTCTGAAATTAATTGCCATTACTCTTGAAAATACAGAAATCTCCTTATTTTGATACTTCTAGAAGTAAAATAAAAAAAAACCTGTAGAATATATTTGAAATGTTTTATGATTATGTTTTTGATTCTCAAAAGTGTTTCTCCATTTTCTTTATAGATAACATATTTGCAATAAAATCTTGGGCCAAAAGAAAATTTGGGTTCGAAGAAAATAAAATTGATAAAAATTTTGGAATTCCAGAAGACTTTGACTACATAGACTGAACTACTCAGTGTCGGTGGAGGATCTATGTACTTGTGAATATGTAACGTTTTTGTTACCCAGCTAAATGTACTGAATTATCATTTACCTGTAATTGTGTTTTTCATTTTATTAATTTTAAATAAAGTATAAAGTGTAGATGTTTTGCAGTCTTTGATCAGTTAAAAACAGGATGAGAGCCTCAGTGCTCATCAGAGTAGGAGAATGCATAGTAAAGCTGTCCACCTGTTGGGCTTACCAGTCATTTTTTTAGAGATCACAGCCATCATGACATGATAGCATTTTTTATTTTCATTCAAACATTAAATATTAAGAACTAAGGGTACCTTTGAAGGCTCTATTATACACATACATGCTAGGAAATAACTTCAAAAACCCTAATTGCTGCTTTACTATTTCTCAGTATTTAGTGGAAAATGTGTGTGAGTGATTCTCAACATACTGCATCATATTTACAAATTTTCCACAGAAAAAAATACAGAAAGTTGGTATTCTTCAAATTTAGAGTTAGATAGAATTCCTCAGATGTGAAAACTACTTTCTGTTGAATGTGTGATGCTTTTCTATTGTAAAGAGCAAGCATTTTGTCCTGATTTATGTACTTTTTATAAGATGATTTAGTGGTGTCAGTATAGCACACATCACCAGCTAGAGTTCAGGAATTTTTTTTCAACTGCCTAAAAAAGAGTAGGTTAAAAATAATGTATGTCTCGTGTGTCTTTTTCTAGTTCAGCCTATGCGTTTAGAATATTTGCAGGCACTCCAAGACAAACGTAAAACAAAAATCAAAAGGGCGTAATGCCCTTTACACACATGCCTTAATTTTTTTTTATATTGTCCAGTTTTGATATTCTTTTAAGTAACTTGAATGAGGTACTCCATGTGTCTGAAATGACCCAGATGGCATCCAGGCCATTTGTTAGTGAATCTGGCCTTTGTATTGCATGGGGTTGCTCCGGGCCTACTTCCTGGATGTGGGCGGGAACTTATTAGTCCAACTTTGTTTGTTCTTGAGGCCAATTTATGTTGCCTTAAGGCAACAGCTCTTCTCAGGAGAAAGTATTTGGTGTTAAGAGACAAAGGACAAAACATAAAAATAACCCATCGTAAGCCTTTCCCTAATACACTAATTGTGGGAATTCCAAAATTTCTCAGACCCAGTGTGCTATTTATTAGAAAAGATGCTTCCTTGAGAGAAGGTATGTGTGTTCTAAAAGGAAGCCATTTCTAGTGATCCCTAAAAGATTCTGTTTTATAAATATTCAGGCAGTGTCAAAAAGTTTTTTTGAATATTTTAGAGGCTAGCAAGAGAATGATTAAGTCTGTTCGTGAGTAGGCCAGAGGTTGTGGTACCCTCCTAAGCCAAAATTGTGCTGGTAGGGGTTTAACTAAACTGACTCTTTGGAAAGTGGGGTGGGGCTTGGTTTATAGTATTTGCCTATTTGTGTAGCGTAAATACTCCCAACATGGCCAGTTTCAGATTACCAACGTGGCGACAATGAGGGTTGGGAAAAGATGCTCAGTAGCGCACCATTAGACAGTATTTCTCCCATACAGGTGCAGTAGGTGTACATCTCAAAAACAGAGAAAATGGTAAAATATAAAATAATTACAGAGGGATGAGTTTTTAGTTTTAGTACCATTGTTTTTAATATGATACAGTTTATCGTAGTTTGTGTGATTTAATCTTAGTGATGGCAGTGTTTAACAGCTGGCTCCCTGTTACTTAACAGTTGGCTTGCCTACTCCAACACATCACCGTTCTTAATCTTTAAGAGCTGCGTTTGAGCTTGCTTTTCCCTGAAACTAGAGATGGTTAAGAAGCCCACGGGCATTGGTCCAGCCAAGCTCTAGGTAATCCTTAGTCCTGGATTCTGAGTACAACTAGGGTAGACATAGAGTCAAATTACTAGTGGTCTGAGATCAAATTTGATTCAGTACATGTTATAATTGATATTTCCAAATATTTAAATGAATTGTGAAGTTTAAGGGATATTTGAGAGCTGATTTCCATCTTAACCCATTCTTCACATGTAGTTATTTTTTAAATCTTACTATCTGTCCTATTTTTAAAGGATTCTGGGAGAGATTTTACAGTCTCCTAGTAGGTTTCACAGTTGTTCAGGGCCAGGTCAGATCACTGAAATGTCCTTTCTGAGGTTGGGCCAGGACCAAAACAATACATAGGAAGAACTGGACATGACTTTTCCTCTGATGTTTGCCACATCATTAGTCTAACAGGATTACAAAGTTCTTGGCCTGTCTCTGAAATAGATGTTATGATCCTAAATTTTATCAAGCAGTTCTCTCTAAACAACTAGGAAAGGAAATGAGTAGAGCTGGCAGCCAAGAAGCATGAACCATCCCAATAATTCTTGAGCAGAAAAGTCTAAACTGTAAACCCGATAATACTTTTTTTGTGTGAACATGATTGGAGTAAAATATAAAACATTTTCCAGCTAACGTGGCATCATTTGTAAGAGCAGTTACAATGTGACAGATGGTAGGAAGATGCTTTAAAATTGTACATAAACTCCCTTTCAGGGTGTGCTTCTTGAATACTGTCTATATACCTGGAGGAAAATGTACTGCATGATGAAATGGCCCTTTGTGATGAATTTATATTATACTTATACCAGCTTGATTTTTTAAAAATTATTTGTGAGAAGTAGAGGTCAGGTAATGTGGCTGTCTCTGGAAGTACTCATTGAATCTCAAGCCTAAAGATTTCTATTAACCAGGATTGGCAAACTGCCCCCCTGAGAGCCAAATCCAAGGCGTGTTTTTCACAGCCCTTGAGCTAAAAGTATCTTTTTACACTTTTTTAAAGGTAAAAATAGACGAGATTATGCAACAGAGGCTGTATGTGGCCTGCAAAGCCTGAAATATTTACTACCTGACCCTTTACAGAAAAAATTTGCCAGCTTCCAAAAGATCAAAACCTGACAGGCCATGGTCTAGATATGACCTGCGAGGTGTATTTTATTTTGCTCAGACTTTCATTGTTCATTTGCATTAGTTGCTAGCATGTCCACGTATAAAACGTCACATGCAAATTGAGATTTTCAGCTTCTTTTGGTAACAGTGATTTAGCAACCCGCATGGCAAGCTGCAAGCCCACGAGAGGTGAGCAGGCCTGGCCCAGCGGTGACTGGTTCCTTTCTGAGAGGGAAGCCTCCCAGCTTTCGTCTTCAAGTCACAGTTTTGTTCCAAAGTTGATAAACCAACTTGAGGTCAAACTTTAGTTTCAACTTTTCAAATTCCAGGAAAAAAATCTTGGTGCTATTTTTATTGTTGAGATTGTATTAAATGTATAAATTAACATAGAACTGGTAATCTTGATGATGATGAAACAAGTCTATTCAAGAGCAAAGGATGTCTTTCCATTTGCTCAAACATACTTTTGTGTTTTTCCAATAGTTTTACAGTTTACTTCACGTAGAATTTTCAGTTTTCTTAAGTGTATTCTCAAGTATTTTATTTTTTTGTTGTTGCCATTGTAAATGGAGTTTTCTCTTCCATCTTATTTTATTTATTTTATTGAAGTTTGGTCAGTTTACAATGGTGTTAATTTCTGGTGTACCATCTTATTTTCTAACCGGTTGTTATTTATGTATCTGAAGGCTATTGATTTAACATATTAACTTTACATCCTGCTATCTTCCTAAATTCTTTTTTGTTTGAGTTTGTTTTATAATTAATTCTCTTAAGTTTTCTAGGTATCCTATCATGTCATTTTCACATAGAAATAGTTTTAATTCTTCTAACTGTTACGCTTCTAATTGTTTTCTCTTATCTAATTGCATTGGCTAATACCACTCTTAAAACTGTAGTGGAGATAGAGAGCATCTTTGTCTTGTTTCTGACCTTAGTAGGGATACCTTTATAATTCTGCATTAAGGAGAATGTTGGCTTTTTAGAATATGTAATTGGTAATGTTAAGGAAGTATTAATCTAGAAGTATTTTCTCAAGAATTTGTGTAAGGAATGCTTCTTGAATTCATCAAAGGATTTTCCCCGTCTGTGTAGCTAAGCATATGATCTTTCTTTTAAAATCTGCTAATGTAAATGACATTACTACATTTCCTAATGCTCAATTATCCATACATTCCTGGCATACAACCTACTTGGTCATGGTGAATTATTCTCTTAATATGATGTTAGAGTTCATTAATAGTTTGTTTAGATTTTTTGCACCAATTTTCATAAGTGATTCTCATCTGTAATTTTTTCTTTATGTGCTATCTCTGTAGATTTGAGTATCAGTGTTTTACCTGCTTCTTTAAAAAGATTTGGAAATTTTATTTCATTTCATTTGCTCTGAAACAATTTATGTAACACTGGGACTACCTAGTCTCCAGAGATACTTCACTATAATTTTAGCTAAGAATAAAAACAAAAATTGGATCATTCCATATATATGAATCAATGCTATTTTGTTTTCCATTTAAAAATCTGACGTTCGTTCAGAAAGTTTGTTTTGCTTGCTATGTATTACCTCTTCATAAAGATGGACTAAGATTGATAGACATTTGGTTTGTTTTCAGTTGCATGCTATTTCAGAAAATATTTTTAAAGACCATTTCCAAACATATCTGCTTGCACATTTATGGGTGTTCTGAAGATGAATCCCTTGACAAAAGAAAAGAATCCCTATTCATGAAGAAAGGATCTTCTAAAGAGAATATAAGAAACATAGGACAGAGCTGAATTTTATAGAAAAGAAGTTGAAGGGTAATGGCTTTGAGGGCTTTTTAAATTGCTTTTTCCATGGATTTTCTGAAATGAATTCTAAGTAATTCTTTATTAAAAAGATTTGTGAAAAATGAGCTGGGAGTCTATTATCAAAAACAGATTTGTAAAAATTGCTGCCTTTTAGCTGGAATGTATTTTTGTTTTTATTATTTATTTATTTTTAAATTGAAGTTTAGTCAGTTACAACGTGTCAATTTCTGGTGTACAGCAGTGTCCCAGTGCTGTAGTTGGAATTTATTAATGAAAAAAATGTGTAATTAATGCTCAAGTGTCTTTAGGTTAAAGATTAGCTTTTAATAGTTAAATCCCAACTGCTTTCTGAAAAACCTCTCTAAAATGTACCTGACCAACTTGCAGACTGGGTTTGATGCAGAAAAAGGGCG